TAACACAATAACATGATTGATGGAACAAGTCTAAAACAGATAAAGTAAACCAGTAACACAATAACATGATTGATGGAACAAGTCTAAAACAGATAAAGTAAACCAGTAACACAATAACATGACTGATGGAACAAGTCTGAAACAGATAAAGTAAATCAGTAACACAATAACATTATTGATGGAACAAGTCTAAAACAGATAAAGTAAACCAGTAACATGACTTATAGATCAAATCTAAACCAGCTAAAGCAGGCCAGTGATGTGACTGATAGACCAAGTCTAAACCAACTAAAGCAGGCCAGTAATGTGACTGATAGACCAAGTCTAAACTAACTAAAGTAGGCCAGTAATGTGACTGATAGACCAAGTCTAAACCAGACCAGTAATGTGACTGATAGACCAAGTCTAAACCAGCTAAAGCAGGCCAGTGATGTGACTGATAGACCAAGTCTAAACCAACTAAATTAGGCCAGTAATGTGACTGATAGACCAAGTCTAAACCAACTAAAGCAGGCCAGCAATGTGACTGATAGACCAAGTCTAAACCAGCTAAAGCAGGCCAGTAACATGTCTGATGTACGAACTCTTAAACCAGCTAAAGTAGCATTATTATTTGAATCGACACAGTCACTCTCAAAGCATTCTTCAAGTTGCCATCAAATCAAGTTCCGCCCAGTAGCGGGGCTCACCATTCTACAGATAGCTTTTGAAAATTATTTTTCGCCCCAATTTTGACACTCAAAGCAATTCTGTTTGTTTTTGTTTCAGAATTTAGCGCAAAGCTGCACAAGGACTATTAGCGCTTATGTTCCTAGTTTTCAATTGATAAACTAGAGCGGTGACAGCTAGTTAATTCCTGGGCTACTCTTGTCTGATCGAATAGTGACACTTTACTGTCTCTCTTATAAGTGTGGAGCGCGTTTATACGGAAAGGAGTTGCTAACCAGGAATCCTTGGGTTTCACAGTCCGGGCAAGATAAGCATTACGCCCCGTCCGGCCTAAGTTTGAAATCTGACGCCTTGTATTCATGAATGTAATGCAGAGCTTATGGCCTAGACTGTTCATTTTTTACACAATTCTTTATGCTTCCATAAAAGGAGGAATGGTTAATCTTGAGCTTTAAGAATGACATTCGACATTATCGTCCTTTTTTTTATCAGCTCTATATTGAGTAGATTATAACCTAGATTTTCAGGGTTCCGTTTATGCTTTTCACTTAGTTATACTGGTTGCATAAATTGTATTTTTCCCACTTTTTATTTCGTTTTAAATTTGCTTAAGGGTGTCTGCACTTAACTCGAGGCTGAGAAAACTTAAACGACCACTAACATTTGACATTATCTGATGATATATATATATATATATATATATATTAAGGTAA